CGGCCGGTGGGTTGGAACTGCAGACTTTGCAATCGGAGCTGCGCCTTTTTACCATGGCTCTGTCCTCCTTTGGATGTCAGGGAAGAGGGACAGGGCCAAACCAATCTGTAAAACTCTGAGTAACAGAAAGAGGTCTCTCTGAGAAGGGTGGGAGAGCCTTGGTGTTTCCCAGACCTTTTACTTGCCATTGACCTTGGAATCCCATTTCCTCCAGTAAACCTTACAGGACTGATGCTTCATGAAGTGATTCCCCAGTGCTCTCCAGGTGTCACCTGCAGGGCCTGGTGGAGACCCGTGAGAATGCACCGTTGTCACTGGACAGGAGAGAACAGGGACTCGGGGCCAGCACTGGTGGGTTCAGAGAGACAGGGCTTGGGACTTTAGAGGCAAAACCAGCAGCACTTACTGGCCACTTACTGGTGGTGTTTATTATTCCCTTTTCTCTAGTTCATTTCCAGTGAGTCAGAACGGTCCCTCCAGGGGGCTTCTAGCATTCTAAATCAGACAGGAGACTATTGCCAACCTTTCTTCCGCAGAGCCACTGGTGGATTTGAACTGCCAGGGGGGTGTAACCTTGGGATTAGCAGTGCAGCCCCTTACAGGTTGTGCCACAAGAGCTCCCTGAGGGCGTTATGAGGAGTCATCCTGTCGATTCTGACTCCTAGCAATCCTGAGTGACGGAGTAGAACTACCCCATAGGGGTTCCTGGGTCGTGATCTTTGCCAGGACAGATCACTGGGTCTTTGTTGTGAGGAACAGCTAGCTGATGGATTCGAACTGCCGACCTTCCAGTTAGCAACTGAGCACTTAACTCTTGCCAGGGCTTTGGGGCCAGCCAGCTAATCAAACTTTGACATACATGACTGTGCCGAACTGAATTGTGTTTATGTCTCCTTGATACCAAATCAGTCGCTTGAAAGGAGACATGCAGTCCTGAAAGCTGTTCATTTGTCTGCATGGTGCTAATGGCCAGCACCTTCTGAGTGTGTCTCACTGGAGCGGCCATCACTGAAGTGGCCATGACTTTGACCTCCTTTCAGGTTGCACCAGACCCTCTGGGGTGTGAAGCCCTTTATTTATTTACCTGTCAGAGCCCTTTCTACCCTTCTCTATGTTTAACTTTTTTAAATTAGGAGACGCACTGCTCCCAGGGCGTGCTGGTCTGTCATGTTTGAGCCTGCACCATCCACTGCAACTTTTCCAGTTTCCGAATTTTCTTGTTAATGAAAACTGCACCGAGGCTTAAATCCCTGGCACGGGCCAAAGCCGCAGGGTACACTGAGGCCAGTAGACGCGAGAGTAGCCAATTTTATCTGGCTGTTCCCTCCTCCTCCTGCTGCCTGCCCTCCTCCTTCCCCCTTAATTTTATCAGAGACTTTTGGCTGGACTTGAAGGAGCCGAAAAGGAACTGGAATGGCCTGAGCTTCTAGCAGCCAGTGACAAGGTGTGGGAGGCAGGAGACCCAGCCTGGGCACATTCCAGTTCAATTCAGTTTGTCATTGAATGTGTTTGTGCGTCTGGCTTGGAGCAGGGCTATGGGAGTCCCATAATATTGGTACCAGCAACACTAGCTAGTAGCAAATTGACCATATGCTAAAAATGCTGGCCTTTCCTCTGTCTTAAACATACTGTCTTCAGCAATTAACTCTTCCTATCGGTTATAAGAAGTACTGTCCTCATGTTTTCATTGCAGCTGAGTTGGGACCTGTTCATAGCTGACCCTCCAGTGTGTTTTCAGAGGCTGAATAATATGCACATTTTACAGTTGGCAAAAGTGAGGCAGATACAGCAAGCAACTTCCCCAGAGTCACACAACAAGTAGGAGGCAGATCCAGAAAGTCTGCTGAGAAGCGTCTGATGCACAGACTCAGGTTTTTAGCTCTCTCTGAATGAGCCCACAGTCCAGGCAGAAGAAATGAATAGGCGGACCAAGAAATAATTACCACAGAGTTGGAAAGTGTCATGATAGATATGCTGATTTGTATTACAACAGGCAGAAGGAAGGCCATAAAATGCCATATTTGAAATTACTCTTGTTAATGAGGTGGAGTTTTCTGTGTGGGTAAGGGAGGTAAGTGGTAAGGAGTTGTGCTGCCAACCCCAAGGCACACGGTTTGAATCGACCAGCTGCTCCGCAGGAGAAAATTGGACAGTCTCCTCCTGCCCAGTTTATAGCCTCTGAAAACCTGCTGGAGGCTCAGCTATGAGTCGGTTCTGACTTGTCAGTGAACAGCAACAACAGCATCAATGAGTCGGAATTTCTCTGTGAAGTAGAGAGGGAAGAGTGTGTGTAAAAGCAAGGAGGTGGAACCAGCACATTGTGTGTGTGTGTGTGTGTGTATGTGTGTGTGTGAGAGAGAGAAAGAGACACACACACACACACACACACACACACACACAGAGAGAGAGAGATGGTGAGGAACAGCAAACACTTCTTCATGGCACTGCATGCAGAGTCAAAAAGATGCTAATGAAATAGAAGAGTATAAGCAGTGACGTCTTTGACACCATACAGAGGTTTTTACATCCATGTTTTACTGGCTTTGGGTGCCAGTGAGTTGATTACAGACACTTAGCAACTCTAAATAACAGAAAAGGACTTCTCGCAAAGGTTTCCTTGACTGAATCTTTATGGATCAAACCTCAAAGTATTTTGTCTTATGGGGAAACTGGATAGATTTGAACAGCCAGTCTTTCAGTTAGAAACTGACTGTTTAATCAGTGTGCCACCAGAATTCCCTTTGGACTCATGAATTACCAAGAAATTTCCATGAAAATAAAGAATTTTGATTTATTTTGTCTCTGCCCAGAAGATATGTGACACTTGAAGTATAAAACGTAAATGGAGTGGCTTTAGTTGGTTGGCTTGATGCTGGGGACCCAGAACCTCGCCTCCGAGGAGTCTGTAGTTTCCACCTGGACATTTGCCTGCTGTCTCAGGGATTTAGAAAAGCAGAGTTCGAGCATCACTGTTAGTACCTGACCCGAGCCTTGGCATTTTCCATTTCTTCTTACACGTGGGAAAATTGGACAATAAAGAAAATTGAAGAAGAATTTCTGTCTTTGAATTATGGTGTTGGCTAAAATTATTGAATATACTGTGGACTGCCTGAAAAACAAACTGATGGCCTGGTGACAAGAAGCTGCACTGCAGATCTGAAGGCACGTAGTTCGAGGCCACCAGCTGCTCTGCAGGAGAAGGTTGGGCAGTCTCCTCCCATGTGATTAATTGCCTCTGAAAACCCACTGGAAGGTCAGCTGTGGGTCAGTTATGACTTGATGGCACACAGCAACAGACAAGAATGGATTGCCCAAAGATCAAGCAAATGTGCCCTGGAGAAGTGCAGCCAGAGTTCTCCATAGAGGCAAGGATGGTGAGACGTCATCTCGTATACTTTGGGCACGGTATCAGGAGAGGCCAGTCGCTGGAGAGCACACCATGCTAAGAGAAGTGGACAGCTGGTAAAAGAGAAGACTTCCAAGGAGAAGTGTTGGCATTGCGACTACAACAAGTACTTGACTTGATAACACTTAACAACAACAACAAGGCCACCAGAGCAATGGGGGAGATAAATCCGCAAGATAGAGTTCTGTGATAGGGTGAAGGCGCATTCCTGCACCCTGTAGGAGCACATGGATCACATTAGAGATGTTGTGTTTCTAATGGTCTCATTGTGAGTGACAATGGAGGTCTCATTTTGAGCAAAGGCTTGAGAAGATGAGCCCCCTAGAACAGTTGCGTGGAGGCTTCGTCCCAGCCAGGAACCGGCCCCCATCATGTGCCATGTAAGGGGTCACTCTTTAGGTGTGGGTGTGAATGCACACTCGTTCTAGATTCCTGCAGCTCAGAAATGTGGCCAGCAGAGTGGACATAGCTAGATCTGTTGGAGCGTGCCGTTGCTGCTGGCCACTGTCAAGTCACTTTTTTTTGTTTGTTTTGTGGGGTTTTTTAAAAAATTAATTTTAGTGAAAGTTTACAGAGACTTAGGGTTTCCATTCATTGTTGCACTTTTTTCCCTGCCCACCCCTCCCCCCAATTAACTCTGCTCCTTGAAAAGTAAAAGAAAAACTCTTTCATTGCTATGCAGTCCCACCCCTCAAGACCACTCCACTGTGCAGCCTTCGTTCTGGACTCCTGTCATGACAATAATACCCAACCATATATCCCTTTTAAACAATTCTCTCCCTCATCAGTTTCAGTGCAGTAGACATCATTCATCCCCTCCTCTGTCTTCCCTCAACCCCAATGTCAGTCCTGTTTTACAACAGTGGCTCTATGCAATATTTGTCCTTTTATGACTGAGGTATGTCATTCAGCATAATGTCCTCCAGGGTCACTCATTTTGTATACTATTTCATGAGTTCCTTGTTTTTCAGTGCTGCATAGTATTCCATTGTGTGAATATACTACAGCTTCTCTATCCATTCGTTGTTGATGGGCACTTGGGTTGTTTAGAGCTCTTTGCTATTGTGAACAAAGCTGCAATAAACATGAGTGTGCATTTTCAAGTCACTTTTGACTCATGATGACCCAGCTGTGCTGAGTGGAGCACTTCCTGGGGTTTGCAGGTTTGGGACCTTTCAGAAGCAGATCTTTCTCCCAAGGTGCATCTGGATGAGTTTAATCTGCCAACCTTTAGGCCGAAAACCAAGCACTTAATCATTTGGGCCACAGAGAACATGGTCATCATGTTTTTCCACAGGGGAGCTATTCTGGCCAAGGAGGGCTGTGAGAAATAGTCCTAGAGAAAGGCGTAGGGTCTTGGGAAAGAGAACCTTAAGTCCTTTCACGTCACAAAAGTGTGTCCATAGCAGTAACTCTAATGATGCTTGTCTCCCAGCTAGAGAGCTTGCTCAATGCCTCCCGATGTCAGATGACCTGGTGTATGTCCTCAGTGCTGTTTATGTCCTGCTCAGTGACATCTCCAGCATCCATGCCCTGGACTCATAAATGAGCTTGTTAAGTAAGCTGGGATTTGTTTATTGTTTTTCCCTCACAGTGTTCGAAAACAAGGATAAGATTGTGATCATCATGGAGTACGCTAGCAAAGGGGAGCTGTATGATTACATCAGCGAGCGGAGACGCCTCAGCGAGCGGGAGACCAGGCACTTCTTCCGGCAGATCGTCTCCGCTGTGCACTACTGTCACAAGGTACAGCCGGGCCGCCAGCAGCTTCCAGGGCCGGGGGCACAGATGGCACCATGCCTCCCTTCTCATACTGCAAAGTAAATTGCCATCAGGGCCCACACCGACAGTCCCCACACTGGAAACAAAATCCAGGAATAACTCACCATTGGCATTTTTGTTTGCTTCCTTTTTCATCTTCTGCCTCTTCCCTACATTTATTGTCTGCTAAAAAAATATTTGGAGTAATTTTAGATTTACGGAAATGTATCAAAGATAGTTTCCCCAGATACCCTTCACTGAGTGTCCCTTACGTTACTGTGATCTAGTCATCCAAATTAAGACACTGACGTTGGTCCGTTACTATTAACAAAATTCCAGAAGTTCTTCTGATTTCACCGGTTCCGGCTGGCCTGCCTCTGCTTGCTCCAGGTTGCCTCGTTCAGAGAGCCACGTTGTGCTTGTTGTTATTATTGTTAGGTGCTGTTGAGTTGCCGTCAACTCCTAGAAACTCTGTGTTCAGCAGAACAAAGCCAGTCCGACTCTTTAACCTCCTCTCAGTCTCAGCTGGGTTTGAGTGCGCTATTGCAGCCCCATTGTCTTTACTTTGCATTTATTTTTAGAGTTGGGTCTTGTTGTTTTTCTTCACTTACTATCAGTGAAAACAGAGAAAGCCCCTCAAGGAGATAGATTGGCACACGGTGACTCTAACAATGTGTGGATCAGGAGGAAGGCCCGAGACAGAGGAAGGTTCTAATCTGCTGCCCGTAGCGTCACTGTGAGTCATAGGAAACTTGACGGTACCGAGTAGCAATAACATGAACAATTTTCTGTAAAGATTATGTGAGTGTTAGACATTGAAGTTGATTCCTATTTCAACTTATAATAGCTAGTGGTCAGCATCTTTAGAAATGTTTCCCTCTCATTTGATTTGCTTACTTAAGAGAGAATCAGAAGTGAAAATCTTGGATTGAAAGGAATAACAAGCCTTGGATCCTTTCCTTCTGAGGCATATACACATAAGTTGCCTACATGCACATACGTTTCATCGCAACACATCTTCAGGGATGTCCTTGTAATCTAGACATGGCATAGCTACACTTGAGCTCCAGACAAGGAAGTACACAGGGAGTTCTGAGCCACACTCCAGCCATTCTTATTTAGAGTCATTTCAGCCTTAAATTTTCACCTCAATTCAGATCCCTCCCCCCCCCCCTTAAGACCACAATCACTTTGCGAACAAGAGTGTCGGGCTAAGAAGTGTGTTGAAACCAAGATAATGTCAAAGAGAACAATGTCCTTTTCCAATGAGACTTTCTGGTTAGAATTTCAATATTCTGGTGAATTCAACAGTGCTGAAATCGTTCCCAGTAATTACCGCAAGACTGTTCGTTATTCAAACCCTCAGCCATGCAATCATTGCCCGGCCTCTTTCATGGTGACTGCGGACACTGATGAGTCACCTCATGTAATATTTATCTCATCGTCAGGTATCATTGAAAAGCACTACAGATCATTTTCCCATTAATTGAGTCACAGAAATAGATTCTATATGATAAAAGGTTTTATTAAGATTATTGCATTTCATAACGAAAACCCCAGAATGCACCAGTGTAAATACAGTTTCTCCTCAGTATTTAAAATGAAACTCTCTGTGACCTTCATTTCCTGGAGGCATGGCCTGTGTATTTTTTAATTCAAACTAGAGCCTTGGAAGGTTGGCTTAGAAAAAAGATGAGCAGAAATAGATGTTTTCATCTCTTGCTCTCTCTTTCCAGTTAGTGCTCTCAGAGAGAATAGTATCTGTCAAGTTGAAAAGAAAAGAAACAGTAAAAAGCCAACATATCAACATTCAGACTCCAAACTAAAGAATGAAAGACAGAATTCCTAGCCAGTTGGGAGGCTCAGAAGAACGGCTTCCATTGCCCATGTCTTGATGCTGAATGCTGCTTAGAAACCTGGGCCTTGTGCTTTATCTCTAGCGCCAAGCATCTGGTTCTTTCAGTCCCTCGTTGCTTCCCACGCCCACCCATATCAGAAAACATAACTGAGTTTTTAGCAAACCTAGCATGTCCCTTGCTGCTAGACAGACCTGTAGGCAGCAGGCTCCTTCCTCTTCTCCACCAGCCCGTCTTTGCTGCCCTTTCTCCAGCTTTGCCTGAACTGGAAGGCCCACACAGCACGGCAGGAACATGTTTGCTGAGGCGTCATCAGCCTGCTCCTGTCCTCTGCTCTATATCTGCTGAGCAGAGAGTGACTTCAAGAGTCCTTCTTGGCTGCTTAGGAAATTCCCAGGGGCGCAGTGGTGAGCCAGTGGTGGAATTCCTGCCTTGCACAGGGCAAAATGGGTTATCTCTGGCCAGTGTGCCTTGTGCATAGCTATGGTCTTTCTGAACAGGGTTCAGTAGAGATCTAGACTAAGATAGACAAGGAAGAAAGGTCTGGCAATCTGCTTTTGAAAACCAACCATAAAGACTCTCTGGAGCACAAAGGTCTAGTTCTGTTGGGCATGGAGTCCCCATCGGTCGAGGCTCACAATGATAAAGAGAAGGGCTGCTGTCAGGCCTTGGGACAGCTCTGAGTTGTCTTAATGGGTCAGAATAGGTGGAGGTAGCTCCCTTTCTAGCACTGGGAAGGCAGACAGACAGACAAGCAAGGTCTGTGTGCCTCCCATTGTGAGGCCCCAGCAGACGAATCTCCTGCTTCCTTGGGACGCATATCACAGATAGACATTGTTTACCGCGGCTGCCTGGAACCACGTTGCTTTCACACAGAGGAATTACATTCCGACACAGAATCCCCTGCTGCTTTACAGTCTCTGGGGAGAGAATAAATTCCAGTCATTTTTCCCTCAGCCACACAGCAAGTGACATATTGTCCTGTCGCTGGTTGCTGGCAGGGACATCCGCCAGCGAGAGTGGCCCTGAAGGCTGCAGGCGAGGATGCTTCTTCCATTGATCAGATGCTTCTATGAAACCAAAGACATTATTACTCTCTCTCTCTCTCTCTCTCTCTCTCTCTTCCTCTCTCTTCCCAGCTGTCCCCCATGTAAAACTTCCTTATCTTCTCTTTTCAGAACGGTGTGGTCCACCGGGACCTGAAGCTGGAAAATATACTGCTTGATGACAACTGCAACATCAAGGTAAAGCTCTTGCCTCTCTGATTGATATGCACAACCTGGGTATTGCAGCCCAGCGAGGGCGTAACCTGCTTCAGGCAGCAGCCTAGACATAAAAGCAGCCCTTTCCTCGCTGGAGGCGGCTAGGGAAATCCACTTGGCATGAGCCCCTCCGCTCAGTTCAATCAGTTACATTCAGCAAGCATTTATCGGTCTCTTTCTATATGCCAGACCCAGCTTGTTTAGCTGGGAACCAAAGAGATGCCTCAGACACAGTCCCTGACCTCAGAAAGCCCACTGTCTAAAACCAGCACCCTAGAAACATACAGAACAGCTAACATCTCATTTCAAGCTTTTAGACTTTGCCAACTATCATTGTCAGAGATAGAAATGGATTTTTTTTTCTCCTTGCTTGCTTGCTTGCTTGCTCTGGGTACACATCAGTACCAGTCACTGGGCAGGGGTACCATGCTTGATAAAGTAGGAGGTGATGGGAATTCCTCGGTGAGATGAATTTCACACACTGTGATTCCACGATGGAATCAAGTGTTCAAATGACCCTGAGGCTGATGGGAAATGGGAGAGTGCTTTATTCTATTCTGTGTAGCATCGCTATGAGTCAGAGTTGACTACATAGCAACTAATAGCAACATTTATATCATTTCAACAATAGGGAAATGGGAGGCACAGGGAAGTGAAGTGACTTGTCTGCGGTAATACGTAATACGGTGGTCTGTAGCATACCTGGACTTGAACCCAGTGTCTTTGTGACTCCTGAGCCCATGTTCACACCGGTATACTCAGTGTGCTAACAGGGCGCTAAGTGATTTTGGAGTTGGAACTCATTCTCTGGTGGCCCGTGTGCCTGACTTCTCCCCTGCCACCCACTTGGGCTCCAGACACCAGCCTCGAAATTGGGAAACTCAGCTGAGAAGATGCTGGCTTCCGCTGTTAGGGCATAGCTGACCGTTTACTTTTACAGAGAGTATTATTGCTGGCTGCTGCTGGAGCTGGAGAAAGCTGTCCCGGTCAGTAGGGTTCAAGTGCCTCCCATAGAGCACTCTGAACATCCTTTTGATCACGTCCGCAAAATAAGCAAATACAGTTTCAAAATAAACGGAGCTCACGGCATGGGTTTCCTTATGGAATGGCCTTAACACTCCCAGCACCAGGGGGAGCCCTCCAGTTGGCCGCTGGTAACATTAGTGGCTCATCCTTGGTCCCCAGCTAAGCGTGGGAATGACCTTGCGTCTTCCTCTTCCATTGATGCTGTTGCCGCCTCACAGGGTGGTATCATGGAGAGAGGATTTCCTCACCTGGAAGGTGGAGCACGTGGCTTAGGTATCTGGATTCTCTGCTGATTGTGGCGGTGACTACTTGTCACCCTCATCACCTGGCCAGACCCCTAGAAGCCATGTCTCCGCAACCTCATCTTGTAGGCTGGCCCATCCAGGGTCTCTCCCATTGGCAAAGTCCCTGGGTTTTTCTAGAAGGAGCACTGGCAGGAGAGTTAGAGTAGGTTAGAGTGTGTACGTGACTTGCTGATTGCTGGACTTTGGAAAAGCCCATCTCCTCTGCTGTTAAGTGGAGGGACAGGACAGTCATACCCAAAGCCCTGTTTCTGAGGTTTGGATGAAACACTTTATTTAGCATTATGGCCATCTTTAAAAAAACACACCAGCCAGTTGTCACCAGCTCCATTCCAAGTCATGGCAATTCCGTGTGTTTCCTATCAGAGCTGTGTTCCACAGGGGATTTTGAGATTGGCGTTTTGGGAGTGGATCACACTTTTCTTCGATAGCACCTCTTGAGAGACTTGAACCACCAATCTTTGGGCTAGTAGCTGAGAACATTAACCTCTTGCAACACCTAGAGACTTCTACAGACCAGGCAAATGTGAAGTTGAATGTTAAGAGCAGTGGCTCTGGGGTTGGATACCCTGGGTTTGAGATGCAACACTAGTCCTTGCCAACTGCGGGGTTATAGACAGCTTACTCAGCCTAAGTCAGTGTAAGCTTCCTCATCTGTCAAGGACGGATGCTGAGAATTGCTATGTATTTGTTCATTCTTTTGAGGACTATTTCTGGAATAGTTACCATGCAGGCTCCATTTCCTTATCTGTCAACGAAGGAATACTGGTCTCTGTTGCTGGAAATTGCCATGTATTTGCTCCGTCTTTTAAAGAGTATTTCCTGAGCAATTACTGTGTGTCATGCCCTGGGCCTTGTCATGGGGAGTCAATGAGTACTTCACACAATATTATTGATGAGACCTTTAGACCTTAACTACTAAGATGTTAGAAACCTGCATACATAGCCAGCCGTCCACTGGGCAGAGGGAGTGGAACACAGTGTCAGCTGCTCAGTGGTGCCTAGAAATTGGGGGTGATGAGCAGGCTGTGGTTAGATCATTGGTTTCTGCTTTGAGGGCCACATTCTAAGGGTTCCTGTCATTGACTCTGGTGGATTCTTCCTGCCACCTGCCCTCCGAGCTCGAAACACTAAATGTAGTCTTTACAAGGCGTGGAATGCAAGCCTCTTGCCTGGGAATTGGATTGTGTGGTACAGGGTGACCTCCTGTCCCATGATGCAGCCCCAGACGTGATAAGGCACATAGCTTTCTAAGGAGTCAGAGAATTCCCAGGGGAGGAAGAGAATGGTTTCATTCTGAAGGCGATTGTGCAGGAACAATGGAACAGGAACCTGGGCGTACAGCTCATTTGCATAACTCCCAGGGCCAAGTTCTTCCACCCAGCGCCATGCTCCATTAAGCAGCGAAATAGCTCAAACATTGATCATTTTAAAAATTAAGGTCTGGGTGATATATTTTTGGCTTGGCTTTTCCTTAAGAATCTCCCCTGCCGCCATTTTCTAAAGTCTCTCTCTCTTTCTCTCTCTTTCACACACACACACAACCTGTGTACATAACACACTGCAAACACACGCCCGCCTTTCTGTTCCCGAAGAGCTGGTATTAAATTGGTCTTAAGCCATGATGTATATGTCAGAGTAGAACTGTGTTCCTTAGACTTTTATGTGAAAATTGATCTCCAGGCCTTTCTTCTGAGTCTCCTGTGGGTGACCTTGAAGGTGGCCTAGTGGTGAGACGCTGCACTGCAATCCCGAAGGCTTGCAGTTCAAATCCACCAGCTGCTCCACAGAAGGATGGGCAGTCTCCTCTCACGCGATTGATTTGTTTGTTGTTGTTGTTATGTGCCATCGAGTCGTTTACGATTCATAGCGACCCTATGCACAACAGCCCTAAACCCTGCTCTATCCTGCGCCAACCACACTGCCTCTGACACACCCATCCCGATTACCCCAGTCACCGAATCAATCCATCTCATAGAGGGTCTTCCCCTCCTGCGCCGTCCCTCCACCCTCCCAAGCATGATGTCCCTCTCCAAGGACCCGTCCCTCCTGGCAACATGTCCAAAGTATGTCAGACGAAGTCCCAGAATCCTTGCCTCCAAGGAGCAGCTTGGTTTAATCCTCTCCAAGATGAATGTTTGTTTTCCTGGCAGTCCATGGTACATTCAGTACTCTTTACTGCCTCTGAAAACTCGCCGGAGGGTCAGCTGCGGGTCAGTTCCGACTCCACGGTACATGGCAGGACCTTTTAGGTTAGCTGCTCATCGCCTCAGCCATCTCCTCTACCTGGGGGACTCTTCCTTCCATGTTCAAAGCCCGTAAGTTCTCCCTGTGGTTGGTCATGGAATGCATCTAGGACCCGAGAATGAATCTGAGCATTTGAAAGAACCTCAGGGTCGTCTTCTAAACCTTCACTTGAATGGTTGGGTCATGTCTGAGTGACGAGGCCAATGTCACACAGTGAGTCATTCAACCTGCTGTCCTGCTGTATCTTTGCCACCCCCCAGCCCCCAGTAGCATAGTACTTGGCACGCAGTAGGCACTTGGGAAATGTTGGTTTTGGGGGTGAAAAACTGAGGCGTCAGGATTAGAACGCACATTGCTGGCCTCCAGGCAACTGCTCGTTTCCTCCTCTCACGCCCACTTGCAAGGTTTTTCCAAATACTTCTCAGCTGGTGTCGATTTGTCTTCCGGCTGTGTATTCTCAGCTCCTCCTGACTCAGCGTTTTGCCGGGATGGATTTAGAAAGGGCACTTGCTGACAGAGGCAGGCAGACACATGGCCACAAGCTGGCCTGCACGTCCAAAGGAGCCTGTGTCCTCAGCGTCTGGCCGGCGAGAGCCATTTGATGCGGTGGCACCTTTACAACCAATGTGTCATCAGCATTGAGGCTTCGTCCCTTCTGGGGTCTCTCTGCATCTTCCCTCGGCTTTAAAGCATTCGTGGCTTTGCACGGGAAGCCTCTGAGACTGCCATGCGCGGCTGCAGTTTTAGTGTGAGCTCCGATCGTCTTTCTTCCCCCCTCACCACCCCTGACCCCAGCACCTCTGGCGCTGGAAGTGACTTATCCAGCCCCTGCAAGAGGGTGTGGCTTCTAAAAATAATTCACACAGTCCTCCTCGAAAGAATGAGAGCAATGTGCCTCTTTGGGCTACATTCCATCCTCACTGGAAGCATGCTTACTAAAATAGACACCCGGCGAAGCATTAATTTGCAATTAATAAAAAACGGGCCAGATCCACATCCCACTCTCTGGGAGAATGGAATGCCGGCAATTCCCAGAGAAGGCTCCGGTGAACATGCCTCAACCTCCAGGAAAGGGCTAGACCCCAGCAGGGTCAGAGAGGGCTGGGAAATGGGTGCGTTCTCAGAGCTGGAGGGTGTCCATGGCCCCCTGGTGACAATAGCAGCACGGCTGTTGAGGAAGAGAAAAGAAAAGAAGGGCTGAATTGCAGGGCCAGGAAGAGAGAGGGACATCTGGGGCCTAATAAGACCAAGCAGGGCAGCTCAGCTCAGCGTCACGGGCTCTGGGCTTTGATCATCCGTATGTGAGGACTTTGTATTCTTGCACTAATTAGTTCATTGACTTGTTAGCGTGTGTGTGTGTGTGTGTGTGTGTGTGTGTGTGTGTGTGTTGACTGTAGGACTGCCAGC